TTTTTCACATTCTGTCTCTCACAGTTGAAGTGTACCTCTGGTGCAAATTACTGACCTCTGTCATCATTTTAAGTGGGGGAACTTGCACAATCAGTGGCTGACTAAATACTTTTTTGCCCCACTGTATACTACTGTATGAGAATGCAGTGCTCTTTGTGTGGTAGCAGCCAAAATCCCAAATTTAAGACCACTGTTTCCCAACCACTGTATTTGCCGAAGAAATGATCATGTGTGCCGTGGAAGATTATCTGGTTCCACCTGATTAGTACTCTAAACAAGCGATCCCCAACCTCAGGACCACGGACCAGTACCGGTCCGTGAGTCGTTTGGTACCGGGCCATGAGAGTTGAGGTGGATGTGAAATTTGTTTTTTTTAGAGTTTTTATAGTTTTTTATTGTGACTTTTTTTTCATCTTTTTTATCGTTAACTTGGTTTCCCTGGGTCTTTTCCTGTGTTATGAATAAATCTTATTTTTTATGGTACTGGCACTGGTTTTATTTTGTTGTTTTTATCCGCAACACCTTAAAGGCCGGTCCGTGAAAATATTTTCGGACATAAACCGGTCCGTGGCGCAAAAAAAGGTTGGGGACCGCTGGTCTAAGCAACCGGCAGAACAATTACATTCTCTTCCACTAGAGGGCAGTTGAACTACACTTCCTACAAGGACTGGGTAGCCAATTGCCATTAAAACAGACGAAGATGAAGAAGAAATGACATAATAGTCATGCTGTGAAACGACACAGTGCGCAATAGCAATAACTAAATATTTGAAAAGAAAAAAGTAGTCAATCTGACCTGGGTCCTGGAGAAAACTCCAACCCAGATGAAGGCCCTAGCATGAGTAGCGGTCAGAAGAAAGCAACAAGGTATACTGGGGACAAACCGAGCCAATTCCACTGTACCTGGTGCGCGGGGAAAAAATATCAATAAGCTTTTTGTGACATTTTTTTTTGGTGGTGTGCCGTGTCATTTTTCTAATGTGAATTATGTGCCGTGGTTCCACAGGGTTGGGAAACACTGCTTAAGACTATAAAATGGTACCTGAAGCCAAAGAGGCTAGGTCCAGCCTTCATATGAACAATAGCAAGAGAAGAAGGGATGCCGAGAAGAACAGAAACCCACAAACAAATAAAGACAGACTACGGACCAGAGCTGGACTGCAACAATAAATTCAGCCCTGGCAGTTTAAGTCCAGACAGCCCACCATGATCGCTCTTACATACACATTATGTATATATTTCATTTTGTTTGATTATTGGTATTAAAACAGGTTTTAATCAGGTTGGTACAGTCGTTGTTGAGTTAGAATAGTTGGTTTGCACTACAGCATGTGATAATTAAAAGCTGAAGTTTAGCTATTGCAGTGGCTCAATGTCAAAGTAGCTATTTACTTTACCTGAATCATTGAATCTCTCCCTTCCTAATTATGTCCCTCCATATATTTTCTTACAGCCTTCTTCTTCTACTTCTACTTGTCACCTTTCTCCACCTCTTCCTCACTCTGTTGTTAGGACTCCTACTCCTGCACATCTCCACAGTTTCCATCTTGTCATAAGTAGAAAAAAGGTGACCAGACTATATTTTTATCAGTTTGTTTCCCTTTTAGATCTGTGTTTTCATTGTAACCACATTTCCAGTTACCTGTTTAGGAATGATAGATTACGGTCTAGCCCTTTTACAAAGTTGTTGCCTATTTGGAACACCCGAATGGAAAAGCTTTGAAAAACAAAACTGTAATGCCAAATTCATGCATGAAACACGAAACCCTAGCAGGTTGCTGATGACCCGATGGGTGTAAAGTGGTTAAGGTGTCTGAAGAGGAAAGAACGCGACTGAATACTTTCTTTCACTGTCTTCGCTGTAATCACACCAACCTTCAAAAACTGATATTGATTTGATCCATAGGGTGCCCATATATATATATATATATATGGGAAATACACAATATCTACCCAGGAGTTTGACATGTCTGTATTAGCACATGTGTGCAGCTGAATGCATTTCTTTTCAACCCGCCACTCCTGTATGAGAGCCTACCACTCTGTGTGGGCGTTCTCAAGGCTGCACCTGCCGCGAATGCTTTAATGGCGTCGGCGCACATCTACTAAGACTGAGTCAGCCACTGTTGCTGTCATTTCCCTCTCTCCAGATCCCCTCCCTATTCATTATTTTCTCCCAGTGTAGAGGAGTTCTGCTGAATGTGTCTCAGGGCTAAAACAGACTGCCAGCTCAGGCTGAATAATTAAGTTGTGTTACATACAGTCCCCTCCTCTGCATCTCTGACTCTTCACTGTATTCTGGCCCCCTCTGTCTGTGGGGAAGCCCCCCCCTCCCAAATCACCACCATTCGTGTCGTTCCCTTGTACTGCCCACTCCGTCAAATCTCTTACTCCACACGACACATCTAACGATTCCTCTCTCTCGCCTACCACCCTTCCTTCAACAGAGTAGTGGAGGACGGGAAACCTTTTAAAAAAGATTTTAACCCAATTAGTTGGCCTCGCATGATTTCATAAACATCAGGGAGGGAGTCATGTAACAAATTTTCTCAGGAGGTACTTATTTGGCAATGGGGTCTCAAAAATTCTTTCTAAAGCTGCATTATGTGAAAGAAAAAATAACAAAACATATTTCTTAGCCATTTGTACTTTTGTAAATCAGCTTGTTTGGTTTACAATATGATTGAACACTGTCATTAATTTCAACATCACAGAAATCCTTGTGCTGTTAGAAATTGATTACACAAAATGTTATTGTTGGTACTGTTTTTTTGTTTTTTTTTGTTATAACTAATAACAGCAGAACTATGAGAATGGCACATCGCTCAAAAATCTATTCAGCTTATCAATTGTGTGCTGAAAGTTGGAGTTTTTAAGCACTCAAATACATCGATAAATATATGCCATGGCTTTGTGTCTTTATAATCTCTCTATTTTGGAGAAATGATAAATCATACAGAGTGTGGTAATTTACTGAAGGCACAATTTCTCCTTTAATACTTTAATGAAATATAGTGCAATACAACAAAAAGGGCACTGCTTGAAAATATTAGCAATCATCTGAACAATGGAGCTTTTTATGAAGTGGCATTGCTCGAGACTTCTTGTTATGTCGTGCAACTAGCTTATTAGGCTAATGATGATAATATACGTCAGTATCTGCATCGTTTTACTATAGTTGGTGACCTACAAAGAAGTAGCCCAGGCTTGTGGCAAAATGTGAAATAGTTTTGAACCTAAAGTATTTAAGTGGAAAGAAGAATGTAATTTTAGCATTCGTTTTTGCAATTTTTAGCATAAAGACATAAAATTACTAACATTCACTAACCACCTAAAAGAAAAAGAAAGGCTTGCAACATAGCCAGGATATGTGTAATGCTACAGTTATAGGTGGTTGAAGCCCACAGCCCAACCACAATTATTGTAACTGTATGCAATGAACTTATAATCTTGGGTGACAAGGTTTGCAAATACTTGCAGTTAGCTATTGTCTTCTAAGTATGTTTGGTGCCTCAAGACAATGATAAAATGGCAATAAGGTCAAGTTGGCAGTTACAAGAAAGTATCTGTTTATCACAAATTTGTTGCTGTCTGTATTCTCAGAAATCAACATTAAACAGAAAGTCACATTTACTACTTCTTCAGAGTCCAGCCTGAACCTCATAGATTTGAAAAAGACATTCAGAAATCTCTCCACATATAGTGACATAGTTGCTACTGGACACAATTTTAACAGAAAAATAACACAGGGGCTTGGCAACCTTGCATTTTGACATAGCAAAGAGTTTGCCCATGGACTGGGCTAACCACAGTCTATTAATGCAGTTAACATTCATCAGCACAGACTGACCAACTGATTGCAGCATGTTGACAATCTGTATATGTTTATACATTAGTAGTCAATTATATGCAAACTTTTGCCATTCTGTCAGTCTTAGTCTGACTGTGATTGTGTAGAGACAGGTTGTCTCCCACCAGGCAACCTGTGCAATTGCATTTCGATTAAAATTTGGCTGCCGCAACTACTTGCAGTTGGTCACTGAATGTGAAAAATTGTAATCACTAGGTAACCATCAGTTTTGCTTATTGCAAGGACACTGCCATCCTACTTTTATATTAGTGTCAAAAAATGTCTTCAAGTACCTCTAAAATGTCTCTGAATTATGGAGTTGTGTGACCCCGCCCCCCAAAAATGATGTTAGCTAGATCACAAATTGGCTGTTGATGTTGGACCTGGACTAGCACTGAGATTAGAAGCCGAACATCAGGTACACTTGTTGACTAACTAAAGCCTAAGATTGCTAGCCGCATTGACGATCTGGACTTTCTATGCCTAGCTGTGGCTTGTAATTTTGATGTGACAGTCATTGCTTCGGGAATAGATTACGTAAGACTTAACTAATTCACCTATTCTCTCTCTCCGTTTTTATCCTAGGCCTACTCGTCTTTCAACATGGGTCCCACCCCTCGGCCTATGATGCCCATGGGCAACTCCTTGTTCTGGCATGACTATGACGACAGTTGTCTGCACGAGTGCCTGGATGGAAAGGACTGCAAGAGCTTCTTCTGCTGCTATGAGGAGTGTAAAGAAGGCGGCTGGAGGAAAGGACGGATCCACGTCAACATCCGTGAGCTGGATGCCTACTCCCGGGTTTTCTTCCCCACCTCGTTCTTGCTCTTTAACATTGTGTACTGGGTCAGCTACCTCTACCTCTAGTCTGTCTCAAGCCGTGATGTGTGGGCACTGCTGAAACAGCCCGCGGCACTTTGCACCACGGCTTGTGATTTGAGGTCAGTGCTAAACGTAGGGGAAGAAATGAGGTGGATCTGCTGTGTGGGACTTGTGAGGGACATGCTGCCTCTGGAGTGATATGACGTATTCAAAAATACACGTGTGCTCGGGTGCACAGTGTAAAGGCCATGATACTTTGAGCAGTGCCACTCCACCGTGAATAAATCGCTCAGCAGTAAAATAACAAGCCGCCAGCATTAACTTGAATGGATGAGTCCCACTTATGACTCTCTCAGAAACCAAACAACAGACAGCTGTGACTTCAGAGACATTTGGGAACAGGGGTTGCAGAGCTGACTCTTGGTCGTGGAGATGGCGAAGCACCCATAGTGCCTTCTTTAGAAAGGGTGCGGCACCGAGAGAAGCAGCTTCAGAGTTCCCTTCATTATCTTTATTACCTCATCCATCACACCGCCGCATGCTGAGCTGTTTAGTCTTTGATGAAACAAACCCAGAACACAGTTCTCACCACTGGAGATGTTTAAAAACCAACGCTCACCATTCATTTCGTAGCACATTAGTTTTAGTTGTACCCTAGAATTAGTTCCCTTTTTGAAAATAGTTGTTTTCTTGTTCTTCTTCTTATTGGAACTAGTTGTTCTTTCACAGCAGGTCACATCAGCTGTTACTTGTTAAATATGGGTTCAAGCCAGGGGCAGTGGTTGTATGGTAAAATCTTATTTATTGAGTCAGTGACTGTTTTGTTGAACATGACTATTTTGTTTGAACATGCCGTTTACAGTACATGCCAAGAAGATTTGGGAGTTTTTAATGAATGCTGGGCTATATTCGCACACAACAACTATATAAAAACTGCATAATGTCTGCAGACTGATCTAAAACTACCTGGGCATATTTTGTATGTTGCAGTAAACAGATTGGGGTTGGAGTACTGCTGCTTTTTTCCAAGAACACATCAGTTTAAAAAAAAAGGTTGTTTTTTTTCTTACTTAAATAGACTTTGAGTTTTTAATATATCTTATGCATTACTTAGGCTTAAAGGAAAAATTGGATATTTCCAAAATTGTACTTTATATTCTCAAATAATGGTCTTTATTTAGCTCTTTATTTAGTTTACTAGTAGAAGACTTTTGGGGCTTGTAGGTTTATTTTAGAGAGAGGTTTTAATTCCAAATGTATCGTTATTCTAGTAAAAGCAAAATGAATTTAATGCATTTACCTTTTGTCTATATTGGTTCTATGTATATAATTTATAACTGAAATAGAGTAACAAAATATTAACTGGCCTTTTTCCCTGAATGACATTATCCCTCCTTATTTTTTATGATCCAACAATTTACTTGTGCTTCTTTCAGGAACACTTACTTTAGAGAATGAATAGCATGACTTTCTTTGCCAAGAGTTCATTGAGGAGACTAATTAATGTCTGAATGTGAAATTAGCAGCCAGTAGCTAGCAAGCCTGATGCAAACACTGAAACTTGGGAGAAGCATCCAGATCTGCCTAAAGGGATATCTGCCAGTACCTGTAAAACTTACAGTTTTTGGACTTGTAAATTCTTTGGCAACTAAAGACATAAGTTAGCACTTTTACTCTTTAGGTTAAACAGTAACTAGTTAGCGAGTTTTACGTAGAGCTATTAAACAAACTTTAGTCTTTTTGTTTTTTTCTGAGTTGACAGTTGTTAAATACAGTTTAACATTTGGCATACCGAAATGAGAATATACACTGTATATAAAAGCTAGCCAAGGGCCACTATGATTGGTTCAAGTTCAATGTTGAACACAGTTCTCTCACCCCCCCCCCCGAAGAATTGTAAGCTACAAATGATATAGGCCTGAGTAAAGACAAATTGTTGTGCCAAAATGAAAATAGTTAAACGGGTACATTTTCGATTTGGCCACAAGCCACTTAAACCCTGAAGAAATGCATAAATGCTGCACCTGGCCCATTCAGTTTCAGAAGTATAGCTTGAGTGTATTAAATTGAAGCCCTGATGAAAGCTTCAGTTTTGCTTACTTTTTATTTTCAGTCGAAAAATGAAAGGAATCTCTGATGTCCTGCCAGGCCCTTAAGGCACATCGTCCTGTGCCCAGGTGGAAATGATCCCAGGTACTGTAAAATAGGTTCTACATATTGTGATATCACATACACAAATGCACACACACAAAAACACACACAGATGCTACATTGGACAGTGCTGAAAAATGGATGATACAAGATTCTTTTTCATGACTCTAAATGGAGTCCCACATGCCCTCCTCAAACATTTAAAATTGATGCCATATGTGGAGGCGTGCAGACACACACGCTGGACTGGGCCAGTGGCATTTCAGACATGCTTTTGTTTACTGTAAGGTGTTTTTTGCAGTTGTTTGGCTTTGTAGAACAATCAGCCCTTTTCCTCTCTCCTTCCCAACACACACACTTTTTCCCTGGTATTTGTATGTTCAGAGAAAAGCTTTTATGTAAGTTGTATCTAATTAATGTTTCTATTTTCATACAGGTATATATGGAATGTATGTTAGGCCAGTAGCAAAGCCAGAGTCAATCTGGTTTCAGTTCAGTCAGTTCGAGCAGCTTAGATGAGTTTATATTTAAGGATCCCACATATTTTATTTATGAGGCCTCCAAGAGCCATTTGTGTCCTGTCCAGAGGTTTTTAAGTAAAAATCAAATAGCCTCAAGGTTGCTGGACAAAAAAACAGAACACCCAATTAGTTGTGGGCCACATCTTATTCTGCTTATTTAACTTCTTTAATGTCCACCAGGTCATTGGCAACCCATCGAGGCTTTGGAATTTTGATTTTAGCCCATGAAAAAAATGTATGGACATTTTCAAAAACTAGGAGATGTTATATTTCAAATGACGTCTCATATATAGAGGCATTACACTTTTCCTTATAAAAGATTTATCATTTGGATTTTCAAACAGTTCAACTTTCTATACAAAGGAACTGTAACCCTAACCCTAGAAGGAACGCCAATGACCTTGCGATAGTTAAACCCTTAACCTCTACCATCTTTCAAATTAAATCTCATGGGATAATTTCCATAGAATTTTTTCCTATTGGAGCTACCGTTTACCATCAAATGGTCTAGGGTTAGGGTTATAGTTACATTTTCCTGTAGCAGCACACTAAATAGGTACATTTTTCAGAACTAGAGCATACAAGGGGGTACATTATCCCTACCCCTAAGGCTCACAGGTAACCAGGTCAGTATTAAGTGGTTAATACATTAGCTCAAAAGAAATGGTGACACAGCATTAGTAGTTGATGGATCTATGTAGTCTGAGGAGCTTGGAAAGAAAAGCGTCTGGACTTCTTTAAGTAGCTTGAAGTCGTTTCACCTCTCATCCGAGAAACTTCTTCAGTTCTAAAGTCAAATGGTGGTGGAAAATCCCAGATTTAAGCCCAATGGGAGTGTCCCCCCAAGAGGCACATGGACCCTCTTGGGGGGACACTCCCACTGGGCTTAAATCTGGGATTTCCCACCATTTAACCTTAGAAGCTCCTTTGACTACGATGACCTGCATGACTGAGAACCTTCACAGACAACAATTTATGTAACTAACTGTGTAAGAACTGACTGAATTGACCAGAGTTTGGGCAACACCGCAGTAAACTCTCCTCACCTCTGATATTTCTACTACACTTTATAAGTGTCTTAGTCCATGTAGATACTTCAATAAAATCAAATATCACTATTTTCTACGTCTTAACAAAAACCACCTGTGTGTTTCAGTTGACTGGGACCTGTGTTTATAAAGCCTCTTTGCAATCAGAGTACTAACCCAGGATCAGCACTGGCGAGCATAATAAAGTCGCTCATGAGCCTCTCCCAGAGACCTCATCACCCCCATTAAAATTTCCCAGCTCGTGTGAAAAGTGGAGAGTCATTGGCACAGAAAAGGTGTCAAAGAAATCACTTCCCTTTTTGCCCTGCTCACCAAGTTTGTTGTGATTGTCAGTGAGATCTCTGAGGAGTGGGGCGGGGCTGTAGGATTTTCTAAAAAGCCACTCTGCTCTTGGATCAGCACTCCAAGGGGAAATATTTTATGAAAACTGACTCTGGAGTGAAATAGATATCTTTTTTCTAGTGCGTGGTACATTGCTTATATTAATAAATAACGTTTTGGTCAAGTGCTACTGTGATGTCTTTTTGTGTGAAAGTCTTTAAGAGTGTTGCTTAGTGGTTAGTCAGGAAAAAAAGTTGTGTGTTACAGCAAGCCTCTGGTAAAGTGCTTCAACTGCTTTGCTGGAAGGTGTCAAGCAAAACAGTTGAGAGGGTTTGGAACTGTAAAAAGACAACAACTGCAATTTTTCCTAGGTGAATTTCCATCACTGGGGGTTTACTTTTGTACGCAAAAGGGGATCTACTCTATATGCTTCCTACTATCCTTTCACTGGATTTCAATGCCATGTCACTTTGCTCCCAGTTCCCAAAGGTCTGAAGAAGATGGATTATTGATACCATTATCAAATGTTTGACCATGTGTCAAAGCCAATTCAGAGACTGTAGAGGACCATAATGCCACAATACACTAAGATTGAGGTCATAAAAGCTACAGATGCATAACTCTTTTGACCCAAATTTGCCAAAAAATGTCAGTTCAAATTTGCTTTATTTGTAGAGCTCCAAATAAGCCTCACCCCGTGATCACAACCTCGGTGACTTTGACCGAGGCATGACTGCTAGTGTCAGACAGGCTGGTCTGAGTGATTTCAACACTCCTGACCTTCCTAGAGTGTCATATACAACCTCTAGAGTTTATGCAGAAAGGTGCAAAAAATTTGCTGGTGATAACATTTTGCAAATGGAAATAACTTGTCGATAAAAAGGTTAGGAGGAGAATGTGCAGCCGCTCCAAGCTAACTGGAAAGTTACTGTAAAATTGTGTTATAATAGCAATAGTATTTTAATAGCAATATTGAAAGAAAGTACTTTAGGGACAATGGTTCATATGTGAGGCTTGCAAAGTTGGCGTTGGAGGAAGAGGTTTGTCAACCAGAAGACATGACTGTGTCTCACTAACATCTTGTTTTAACTCTTTAATTGGTGTCACCAGCACTGTCTCTTTACTTTCAGTTTCAATCACTGGCTGAGTTTAGGCTCCAAAAACACTTTGGTTTAGGAAAAGACTGTGCTCTGGGTTAAAATGCACCCATTCACTACACTAACCTTCAACATGTAACATGACACTCACTAAGGGCATTTCAAGTGGTCCTTTAAAAGCTCTCATATTGAGGCTCAGATCATACTATTGTCATGACCTGGCACATCATGCCACCCACGCCAAAAGACACCTGTGAGATGCCAGCGGTTTTGACAAAAAAGATAAATCATTTGCCCTGCGGACTGACAACCAAGTCTTTATGGCTCCTCCAACCCTAAGGGGGAAAGACCATGTTAGGTTCCAGTCCTGTCAGTCTAGAACATCAAGGTTGAGGCTGCAGTGGACACAAGTCTACCAAAACTGTTGAAGACAGCAGCAAATCATTAGACTCGTTGTTTTCTGAGGCTGCAGTATGTAGGCTCAATCAAGACAAAGGACCTGATTTAATTACATGTTCTGCGTGCACACAGTGACAAGTAAGAGCTAAGAACTCAGAGAGTTTTGTGACTGATCCTGCTGCATATGTATTTCTATGAGTTCCTTTCTAAAGGGGTAAAATATAGCAATCAGACTTAACATTAACACCACTGACAGTGACAATGAATACAACTGATTATCTCGTCACCATCACACCTGTTATTGGGTGGGATAGGGAGCAAGTGAACATTTTGTCCTCAGAGTTGATGTGTTAAAAGCAGGAAACAATACGAAGAATTCTTAATAATAAATCCTTTGAGTCCTCTGATGAAGAAATTTCTTATCCACAAATATGATTAAAGAGAAGATTCACCTAAGTGACCCAAGAAGGTTTCATTTGATTAAGCTCTTGGTGGTGTTATCTTTAACCTTGAAATGACTACTAAGTTCCAAATTTACAGAAAATGTATTTGGCTAGTGCACATTTATTGGTTTTATAGACTTTTAATCCAATGTTCTGATTGGTAAATTCACAAATTAGGACATCTCCGTACAAAGAATGATTTACAACTGTCCTGAGGCAGTCTGCTTGCCTAATAACAATGATACCACTGATATCCAGTGACAGATGCATGAGCATGTCATTGCTTTACCCCGAGTTTGGTGACCTAGTTTGAAGCAAGCGGCATGAACAGAGTACAAGCGAGAGACAGACAAATAAGTGGAGTCAAAGGGTGGCTGTTCCAGCGTAGCTCCACCACCGCAAAAACTAGAAGAAGCTCCTGCCACCTACGCGGTGCAAAAAGCAGGATGGCATGCTTGCGCTGCAGTGAAAGCGGAGAAAGAAAACCCCAGCACAGTGTAAAACTGAGCTGTCAGAGTACGTGTGTGTGAATTTAACTCATGAATTTGTTCATGCCTGTGAAATGACAGCTTTGCTTGAAAGAGGAGCTGACATGCCTGTGAGAAAACCTACTGTAGGGAATATGTGCATGTTCGCATACTGTACTTTTACTTTCATAAGGTAAAATGTTCATGCGTGACCACATGGCTGCCTAAGTGAGGAGGGAGTCCTTTTAGCAGTTTAGTGTGTGTGCATTAATGTCACTACTGTGTTTGTGTATTTGTGTGTGTGTGTGTCTGTGATATGATATGAGAGTGTGTTCGTCACAGGAAAATAAACCAGTATTTGTGGTGCACAGATGTAGGATTCGTGGCTGTGGGTGTTTTTCCTACATCATCGTAATTATGTTTGTCAACATTGCGTCTGACCAATCACATTGTTGTGATGTTTAGCTTTGTAATGTGTAAAGAAAAAAAAGAAATGCTTTTATTTGTATAAAATTCTCTTCTGGAACAAATGGTAAACATTAAAAACATTTTCTTTATTAGTTTGTATAATATAATATATTATCTAGTTAGATTTCCTACTAGATCCTACAAATTTAGGTTACTCATTAGAGGTGGGAATCACCATACATCCCACGATACGATATTATCACAATACTTAACGCACAATACGATATTATTGCAATTTTTAAAAATATTTTGCGATATTCAGATTCTGTACATAAAGGTAAACTTTATCAATATTCATTTTATCTAATATCAAAGTCTCACACTCAGTCTTTCTCTCATTTCAGTCAGTTTTATTGTTGACAAACTGAAAAACTCGTATTACAGTCTAGTCCAACTTAACTGAATGCAACCATCTGGTACAATTATAGCTATTCTGAACTATGCAATTTCTGAAAACTATGCAGCCCATTCAGCAACTGAAGAATTTGAAAGTAAATTAAAACAAAATATAATTTTACATTAAATAAAAAAAGTTTTAAACTTAAATAAAAAAAAAACTTGTCTTAAATTAAAATAGGTAAACTGTCATATTTATTGCTGCCATAAAACAAGTTAAACACATTTGGACAGTGAAGGAATGTCAGGATTCTTGCTCAGAAAAAGGATCAACATGCTCTGAAGTCAGAGTTCCAGTCTACAAAAACCTTTTTTGTAACAAAATATCGATTTCTGCTGTCCCTGTATCGATACATTATTAGCAAACAAAATATCATGATACTACACAGTATCGATTTTTTTGCCCACCCCTATTACTCATGTTGGTTTGCTAATAACACAAGCTAACTCGAATGGCTAATGCTAACTGAATGCTCAATGTGACTGGTCAGGTTATGCTAAAGGAACAACAACAAAACACGGATAAAAAACTGGGTCTGCCACAGAAACAGAAAGTGCCATAAAGAGGAGGTAGGTAAACTTAACCAAATCTTGAAGATAACCAGAGGAACCTAAAGTAAACACAATGCAGGACTCGGAAACAGAAGGAACTTTTGGCACTGCTAACGCTAGCTAAACACGTTTACCAGAGTTCTGTGTAATTATTTTAGCATTGTTTAAAAAATAAAATGAAAAGGGTTTAAAAAAGGTTTTTTAAAATATTAAGCATTTTTTCAGAATATGAATCCTGTGTAACAAGGGATGGACATGATCCCAGTACATCCATCTGATAGCAGTACAAATCACCAAACACGCTGATGCAAGTTACCATTTTTGTCACAGAAACGTAACGACATACCCCTACCTCTTAATTAAGAAATCTTTCAGTAGGCACAAGCGTGACTCCACATGGAGTTGTGTGGGAGGGTGTAGCAGCCAGACTGGATGTGGGCCAGAGATTAGGAGTGAAGAGGCAGACTAAGGAAAGGAGTTGTTCTTTTCTTCTACCACCGTGATGTCGCATTG